GGCATGTGGTGCTGGGGGATTGAACCGCAGTCCCTGATGCTTTGCTAAGCTTGTTCTAAGTAGGTGCTTTAGACCACTGAGCCATCTCTCCAGCCCAACTTTGCCATTTGGATGACAGGGAACAGAAGGCCTGTCCTATCTCTTTTAAAACCTCTCCAACCCTTTTGTTTTCTGTTCGGAGGGTGAGGTGCATGCTGAATAAAGATTTACCACAGTAGCTGATTCCACGAAGAAGATAAGCTCACAGAATTAGAGAGTCAAATGCAGAGATGGGAAGGTAAACCAGTCCAAACTCTACTTTCTAGGGCTCCACTCAAGACCCTATCATTTTTGTTTATAGCATGTCTAATAGTAAATGGAGGCTTTGGGCAACAAAATTTCTTTTTAAAAAACTGAGTTGCGTGTAGTGGCACACCTATAATCTCAGCACTCAAGAGGCTGAGGCAGGAGGACTGCCTACACTAACATAGTGAGTTTAAAGCCAGCCTGGATTACACAGACCCTGTCTCAGAAAAAACAAACAACAACAACAACAACAACAAAAAAACTGTAAGTACTTTGTGCCTGTGAGCTTGTCTGGTGCTGCCCTTTCATTTCAAATGGAGAGCAGATAGTATGTGTTTACATTTACAAAGCTGTGGAATAGGGCTGCTGCTTATGTCTAGTCCTCAGCCTGAGAGAAGAGCAAGCCAAGCACCACTGAAAGACAGAGAAGGCAGCTTGCTGGAAAGGGGGTGCTGTTCTTCCAAAACCACTGCTTTGATACCCACTGTCAGGCATTGGATGTATGACCTAGAAGCACATTTAATGAATCTTCCAGTGCACAGAATCACCCAAAGAGCCTTACGTGAGATAAGGTCAAAACACTTCTTCTCCTCGGGGTTCGTCTTCACCTGGCAGGTCAATAGGTTGAGCTTTGCAGGAGGCCGGTTAGCCTGGGTGCAACAAAGGATAGGGAAGGTGAGAGGGCCACCGATGGAGACCACTATGAAACAGCTCTGAGCAGGATTTACTATTAACCAATCGGCTTTCCATGTTTCCTTGTGAGCCCGTCCAAGGCCTAGACCCCTTGTCTAAGGCCCCAGGTGAGGATGTTTGGCTCCAACCCCAATAAACTAAAAGGAGACCGTCAGCTGCAGGCTACACACTCTTACAACAAAAGTCAACCTGGAGATGAAACAGTCTCCTAGTTTGCATACTTTACTACTTGGGGAAGTCTTTGAATTGTCTCCCAAGATTTCACTCAAGTTCCCATGTTTTCTTCAGTATCCCCCTCTCCTTTGTTTAAATATCAAATAAATTCAGCAGCCCTGAGAAATTCTTTGTTTCAGCCTCACCCTTCCAGAATTTCAAATCCTGTTGGAGGGTTCTGATCTTCCTAAAGCCCTAAAATCATATCTCTTGACTCACTGTCCACCCACTTGGGTGACTGTGGGCCTGATCAGTCTGCAATAACTAAGGGGTAATATTAACAGTTTGAAAAAACACACTTTATCAGACACATTCCAACCCCATGCATAAGGAATCACAAAACACTTTTGTAGAACTGGGTCAAAAAACAGCTGTCCTCTTAATTTCTTTCTTTCCTTTAAATGTATTTAGTACAGGGTCTACTGGGTCTCACTACACAGATCAGACTCATAGTATCCTTTGTTTTCAGCCTCCCAAGTGCTGGGATTACAGTCATGCGCCACCACACCCAGTCTCAATTGCTGTCTCAGTGCACACCTGGGGCAAGGCTGACACAGCAGGCCAGGGATTGAACCCCTCGCCCGTGTCTGCCTAAGCAGGCACTTTAATCTGTTGAGCTATCTGGCTGGCCCTTCTCAGTTTCAATAAACATTACTCTGAGTCCTTGAGGCTGTGTCTAGATGATCCCCAAGGCCTTATGCAGTCAGAAGTGGGGATTTGTCAGTGGCTGCAGTGTGGGATGCTGGGATAGATTCACGGTGTAATGCTAAGCTCAAGGGCACTAGGATTAAGGGTGTGAGTGCTGCCCACCCTGAGTAGCCTAGAGAAAGGGGGCAGAAAGACACTGCTAAGGTCCCTTGTTTTGCTACCTTCTGCCCACCATGAACAATTTCTTCTCTGACATGGGCCACCCTGCCTCACAGACAGCTGATTAAGAACTAAAACCTCTACAAACTGTGAGCTAAATAAACCTTTCCTTCTTTGAGTGTTGGGTAATTGTCTCAATAACCAGAGATAAGTAACTAAGATAGCTGTCAAATGCAAAGGGAACAGGAAGGTAATTTCAGAAACAGAAACTGTGGATGTCAAATGCATCAAAAACCTTACTGAAGTCTACAAATGCAGACCAAACTCTCCAAATACCGAATGGCTGGCCTTACTCACCTAACAAGCTGCTAAAGGAAGGATCAAAGGAAAAGATCAAAGGAAGATACCAGAAACTGCAGTCGTTCTTGTTCTCTGCTTGCTGTGATCACAAGCTGCTTGGATGTGCAATACATCCAGACCCACCTTCCTCTTGTAACAAGGTGGCCTGTGTGGCCCTCTCCACTCACAGACCACAAGGTCTTGCCACTAACTCTACAGAGTAGGGGTACAGGGAGCAGCTTCATTAAAACAGCATTAAGCAGGATGTAGGTTTCAGAAAGGGTGAGGGATTTCAAGTCTAGGAACTCAGAAACTGCACAAACAGGGAATGTCCTAGATGCTCCTGGCTTGTGGCCCCAATAATCTTATCTCCTACAGATGGATCTTCTCTACCACCTGCTAACTCCTAACAGAATCCTGGGATCATCAGGTACCAGCTTTGGAAGCCCCTGCACTGCCTCATCTTGTAAACCTGGACAGTTCTGAGCAAAAGCACCAGCCACCTTTGATCTTTACCCATGGGACAACTGATTCACCGAGGACTCAACATACAAATGACACACTGCTCCAATGAGGCCCAGGAGACCATGTGTTATCTGTCACCAGCCTATAACCATGTACCAGAGACTGTTTCCAGGGCTACTTCTACAATGCAGTGTCCACTTTGTCTTGGATACAGGAGCCAAGGGGCCAGAACCCTTCAGTAAATGCAGAAGCACCTTAAGGACACGAGGAGGACTCAGTAGGAAGAACTATAGCTACCCAGCTATTTTTATATTAGTCTGTCCTTTTGTGGGGTAAACACTTTTTTCATGAATTCAACCAATATTACTAACTGCCTTTTTTTTTTCCTCAGAGTTTCAGGCCAGGTATTCATTTGCATGTCCTTCCTTCCTTCCTTCCTTCCTTCCTTCCTTCCTTCCTTCCTTTTTGTTTTTCTTTTGGCGGAGCCGGAGATTGAACAGATTGAACTTAGGCCCTTGTGCTTGCCAGGGAAGCACTTATTCCACTGAGCCATCTCCCCAGCCCTACTGCCACATTTTTGGTGGGAATTAAACTCAGGGCCTTTGAATATAGAGTGTGAGTGTGTGTGTGTGTGTGTGTGTGTGTGTGTGTGTGTGTGTGTGTACAAGTAGAACTTGGGATCCTGTGCTTGTCAGGCAGACACTTATGCTGCTGAACTATATCCCTGGCCCAGCCCAGAACTCAGGGCCTTTGCACTAAGCTAAATCCCCAGTCCTTTTTTATGAGTTTATTTTGAGACAGGGTCTCCCAGTCCTTAAATTGCCTGAGCTGGGCTCACACTTGTAATCCTCCTGCCTCAGGCATCCAGAACACTGGGAATACAGGTATACACCACACTACCTGACTCCTAAGGGTTCTCTGCAGTAGGAATGACTCCAGCAGTATAATAAAGATGTGGTCTGCACAAATGAAACCATGACTGCAGTTCTGCATTTGGGAGCAAGGGTGCCAGGCCTCAAACACACCAACCCTGCTCCAGGGCTGAAGGGCTCAGCTGCTAGGCTTCTGGGCTCTGCTCAGTACCCAGAGGCAGCTGCCGCCCACACAGACTCACCCATCAGAATGATCAGAACCCTCCCTACCAGTTAGCTAACCTTTTCTCTGTGGCATAGGGAAAGCTGCTCACCCTCAGAGATAACTACCCTAAAAGACATATTGTTCCCTTACAGCAACCCAGCCCCCTCAAATACAGAAGAGATCCACTGCCCTTATCTGGACTAGAAAAAATAAGAAAAACATGAATATGGTTCCATATCAAAGATGACCCCAAGAAAGAATGAACAAAGTCATACAAGTGGGCACTCACAAGTGACACCAGCTGTTCTCGGTTTTGCACCAATAGCTGTTTGCTCTTTGCCCATTCAGATGGGCCATCTACTTCACAGCAAAGTCAGATGAAAATTCAGGGGAGAAATTTCTACCCATTACATTTGTTTGCACTGCAATTTGGAAAAGGAATGTCGTGACTTATGTTAGTTATCAAACAATTTCATCTGATTCACAAGGATAGCAGTTCTCTGCAAAGACCTAATGTAATTTAAGAAGCCCTGGTTCAGTAGAAAAGCCAGGGAGGAGGAAAGAGCTAAGCCTTGGTCTTGTCTTGTTTTTATTTTTGTTTTCCTAGACAGGGTCTCACTGTGTAGTCCAGGTTGATGTTGAACTCACTATGGAGCCCAGGCTGGCCTCAAACTCAGGACAATCCTGCCTTAGCCTCCCCAGTGCTGGGATGACAAGTATGTGCCATCATGCCCAGCTTAGTGCTTGTTTTGAAAGAAAGGAATATGAATGATTCTCCCAGCTTAACCCTGCCAATTTACTTCTTTAAAATTTTTTTTTAACCAGTTAGACTTTAAATTTTTATTTTGAGAGCCAGTACAGTTCTACCTCAGTGCAGCCCCCAGTCTTGATGGCATGCAACACTGCTATATTTCATCCAAGGATCAATTCTCCCATGCCAAGAAGCTCGATCAGCTATGACTAGCAGGGATTTCCTTTCCAGTCTGGACAAACCCTGCACATTCCAGGCCACTAGAGTGCTTGGGATTCTGACTTCCAGAGCTTGTAGCATGACACAGGGAGAGGAAACACTCAGCATCTGCGTAGAGGGCTGGAAAGCAGCTACAGTGTCCCTGCAATGTATGAGGTGCTGGCCAGGACAGGGTCCACCACCATCCCCAGATGGAGCAGAAAGGGGCTGTAAATGGCAGACAAGGCAGTGTGCCTAGAGAGGGTGCCCTCAGCACACAGAGCACTCATGAGACACACAGAGTGCACGACAGGTGAGTTGCCAGCATCCCGCTGAAGCTGATCATGAATGTGCTACTGAAAGCAGAAACTGGGGCAACCCATCCACACTAACAAAGGAGCCTTTCCTGCCTCCTGACAGGAAGCTCAGACAGCAGAGACTTAAAGAGAGCCAGCAAAGGATTGCTGGGCCTGTTCTCAAAAGGCTGGTTTCATTAGCAACTAGAGAGCTGTAAGAGCATGAAATGAACTTGGGCTTCATTTTGTGCATCACGGTGATAAACTTGAATTAAACTAACTGGACAACTGAAAAACAACCACAGAGTCCAGGATGTTTAGACCAGTAAGGAAACCAGCCATCTCCTGGTCTCATGTCATTAATTTCTAAAGATGAGATACAGTTAATCAAAACTAGTGTCCTGCTGTCTATAGCACACACACTACCCCTCCCCCATGCATCTATGTGTAAGGAAAGAGCAGTGTTGGAAAGTGCAGACTGCAAGCCCCAAGTCTGAGCCACTTTTCTCATTGCTAAGACAAAATACCTGATGCCCAAAGTTAAAGGAGGAAGCGTTATTAAGTCCATAGTTTGTAGAGGTTTTAGTACATAGTTGGCTGGCTCCAAGGCGGAGTGGCATCACAGAGGAAAAATAGTTCATGGTGGGCAGAAGGCAGCAGAGCAACCAGGGCTGACCCTGCTCTTTCTGTCCTTGTATCTTATCCAGCTGCTTGAGGTAGGGCTCACTTACACCCTTACTCCTAGCACCCACGAGCCTAGCATTGCACCATGAGTCCATCCCAGTGTCATACACTCATGATCTAGCCAACTCTGAAAAAGCCACATGATCTCATGGGGCTGTGAGGGGTCATCGAGACACAAGCCATAATACCCTAGAAGAAGGTGGGAGAACAGCAGTGTGGGGACTGCATTCTGGAAAATCGAAGGACCTCTATGTGTCTGGCTAAGAAACAAGGTCCATCCCTAGGTCAGAGGACCATGGATCAAGACAGAATACTTGGGGCCAGGGAGATGGCTCAGTAGAATAAGCACTTGCCTGGCAAGTGCAAGGGCCTGAGTTCAGTCCCCGGTTCCGCCAAAAAACAAAAAAAGAAAAAAAGAAAAGAAAGGATACTTACAGTACCATGGGATATGGTCAGAAAACCATTTTTCACTGAACATTTCCTTTTCTGCCACACTTTTCGGATCCTTATAGATAAATGGGAAAAAGCAAATGCATAGACATTTTAGATGCAGGAGGTCAGGAACATACATGTCCCCCTAGCATCCAGCACGGCTACCTACCCATCGCTTTTCTTGTAGAGGTTGCCATTCCGCTCTGTGCCATGTTCCTTGTTTCCCTGAGGCTGATGTAAGCTATAAACTGTACTCTGGCGAAGCTGTGAGTCCTGCAAATGGCCAAGAACTTGCTTTATAATACATTCTCCAGGGCTGATTTTTAAAAAAGCAGTATCCAAAGAACAGGTAAGCCTGAAGTTGTTTTTCAGTTCTCCCCTTCTCATCACACCAAGAAAGGGACACAAAAGTCATCTATCACCAGGCCAGAGAACTCTCAAAAATCAGTGTTTCTAATAAATAGACAGAATGAGCCCCTGGACATTCAAAAGCTTTGCTCTCCTATAAGCTTTATGTCCCGGATGACAGCTGCATCTCGTGAGAAGGCTGAGCAGCACCATAAAGGAAGGAAATGTGATGATTGGAAAGGGCAAGGGCTTTCAGGTAAGACTGCAAAACCATTTTTTGATTCACACAGACATGTTACACAGGTCCTCTGCCTTGGTTTCTGTCCTGGACAACAGGAAACAATACCTAGTAAGATGGCAAACACAAGAGTGGATCACATGTGTGGACACTTGGTGCCTACTGGTTCAGGACAACTATTCCCTCTCTCCCTCCCTCTCTGTCTCAAGGCATGAGGGGGTGGGGGGGGCACACAGGAAATAAGACTGCTCCCTATTCTGATCCAGGAGCTGGCATCACAGGAAGTCCACCCTGGAAGTCAGCTGGGAATTCACATAAGCCCAAATCCATTGGACATATGGACATTCACCTGCAAGTGCCACAAGGCCACCACCCACAAGTGCTCAAGGCCAGGGTCCGACCTCCAACAGATGTGGAACAAATGATATCACATAGTCCATGCCAAGAGGAGACAGTGCTGCTGGCGCCAGCACTGGAAATTGGGGCAGCCCACAGGAATAGAGCAGAGCAGGTAAGAAAGACAAGCCCAAGTCAGCCAGGCAAGGGCTAAGTTTCTATGAATCCTGAAATCATCCTCTGTTGGAGCCTGTCCTTTCTATAATGGGAAGAAAGAGGATCATGAAATTCAGTGCTCTGCTCAGGGAGTAGACAGAGCTCACACCCCTGCTGCCTCCCTGGGGGCATCCTCAGATAGGGTCGTGCTCCTTGATGCCAGTAAGCAGTGCCCACCTCAGGGAACCTCCACACACACGCAGACAACAAAGGTAAGGACAGCAAAGTGACCTGAAGTGAGATTTGAGGAGTCAAGAGGAGAAAACCATGGGGAGAGTTTGGAAGAAGTGAGCCTTAAGGGGAGGACAAGAACTGGCACAGCAGGAGGAAAGCATCTGGGGCAAGGAGGCAGCATGGCTGAGACAGGGAGAGGGTAGAGAGGAGCTGGTGTCACCCAGGAAGGGGGACAAACACTGCGGCCAGGAGGCAGAGCACACGCTCCAGGCACAAGCAGCTGGGACCTTCTGGACACTGAACAATTTCAAAAGTTTTTAAAGCACAGGAAGTTTTTATTTTGATAAAGTTCAATTTATCTACTGTTCCTTTGTACTTTGGGGTAGCATGTAAGAAATCAACGCTGAATCCAAAGTCATAGTGCTCTATACCTATAATTGTAAGAGTTTTACAATGGTAGCTGTTGTACTGAGGTCTTTGATCCACTGAGTTCTGGCATGAAACAGGATTTGAATTTATTCCTTTGCTTACGGCTGTCCAGTTTTCTCCGCACCACTGCTGCAAAGATGATTCTCTCCCATGCTGCTCTGGTGTCCTTGTTCAAAACCCCAGTGACCACAAATGTGGGGCTTCTTTCTAGATTCTCAACCCTATTTCATTGATCAAGCTTTCTCACTATATGCCAGTACCACAATGTCTTGTTACAGCTTTGTGGCTAAGCTTTCAAATCAGGAAATATCTTCCAACTTTGTTCTTTTATAAGCTGGTTTTGGCTAATTCTTGGATTTTTGTATTTCCCTAAGAATTTTAAAATTAGCTTGTCAATTTCTGCAAAAGCCAACTATGATTCTGGTAGAAACCATATGGAGCCTATACACCATCGGAAGATCATTGTCATTGTGCTATCTTCAAATCTACGAATGTGAGCGTCTGGCACTGGCTTCCTAAACTATATGGGCAACCACCTGAAGGAACAAAAAATCTTTACCTGAGCCACCCATGACATGCTCACTACCAAACCAATGAGTGACGCAGAGGGCCAGCCCACCATCTGTGGGATGAGGATGTCCCTGAACCCCCTTTTTCCCACAAGGGCTACACCTCAACCCCAGAGACGTGGAGCAAAACCAGCTTTAAACACTGTTGGGAATAACTCCATGGAGAGAAACAGAGAGACTGCTTACTTGTATGACTTATAAACCCATCAAAAGACAAAACTGCACAACCAAAAATTGGTCAACTAAATTGGGGAGAAGAAACTCCCTGCATAAACTCAGAGTCAGTCATGTGAAGACCCTGCTGTACATCTGTGTCACCAACTAGGGTAGCACCCATCTGCAGGTCTCAGCAGAGTGAAAGGCACTGGCCTCCCCCCGCAGAACCAGGCTCCAGCCACATGGGAAGAAAGGGGGGATTCTATCTTACCCTTTTCTTTAAGCCAAACATCTTTTCTTTTTCTTTTTTTTTTGTTTTTTGTTTTGAGACAGGGTCTTGCTATGCAGCACATGCTAGTCCTGAACTCTCAGTGACCTTCCTGTCTTGGCTTCCCAAGCACTGAGATCACAGCTGTACACCATCACACCCAGCCAGTTTTGAATCCATCAAAATAATCAGACAAATCTGAAGCTCCTGCTTAAAATTTAAAATTCACAGAAAAGAGAAACTTTAATATAAATTGAACCTACTATCATCTTCGGCATCCTCAAGGTGACCTCTAGGTGACCCAGCAAAAGTCCTCTCCACCTGAATAAAAGTCTGGTTAAGCTTCAGGTGATGCTCACCTGGCCCAGGCTTTAATCTAAACCACCTAATCACCCCTGTGGTGGCGCATCTAGGGAGAAGGGGTCCTGGCTGGACCTGGAGTGGGAACTGGGGAGGCCAGAAAGACAGCTTCCAAGGGGCTAAAAGAACACTCAGAATTCAGCCCTGCTGAAGGGAAGGATGATGAAGGGCAATCCAAGTATAAACCCTGGAAATTCCCCTTGATACATGTAAGCTCTGTAGCCTTTAGTGAAATCTACTACCATGAAAGAAGGACTGAAATCTCAAGTGCTACTAGCCATTAAGACATACAAAGAAAAAAAAATTCATGGTTTTGAAGTTCATAAACAAAACATGCAAAATTCTCCAATTTATTTAAAAAAAAAAAAAAAAAAACTACTTACTCTCCTAGACTTCGGTCACAAAAGGTAAATGCATTTGGGAGAAAAACAGTAATATTCAGTTACAGTATAAGAACTTACAACAAACTGCCAACTTTATGTTCTGCTAAGTAGCTCTAGAGCCGTTCATCTAAAATCTAGGTGGTAACATTCAGGCACATTCTCTTTCACAAGGAAACGCATTTATGTTAACGTTCTGTTGCATCCTGGCGGCACAGAGCCTACGAGTTCGGGGCCAGCCTAGGGCAACCCAAGACTGTTTCAAGGGAAGCAAATCTCCACATTATACACTCACATTGTAGTGAACACACCATAAAATTACCTTTAAAATGCACCTTTTAGTGGTTTTTTCCACAATTTCCCCCTCCAAACTGCAGGTGCATGAATGTAAAAAGATGTCACCACATGGAGAAGCCACAGACTTCTGCTCAAGGGATACAGCTGTGACAAAGGCTGACACCTCAGATCTTGTACATACAGTGGCAGATAGGGAAAAACTGCAAAGGTCACCTATTCTGTGCCCACCCCAATGGGCAGGTGAACCAGAGGCCAGAAGACAAAGTAAATGGCACACACGGCAGTGGACAACATGAGAGACACTGAAAACACTCATGTGGCAGGGTCCAGGTGCAGAGAACCCTAGGATACAGGAACACAGGCCTCAGGCCAAACCTCCAAAGTACAGGGTCCTGGGGATTAAACCCAGGGATTTCACCTGGAGACATGTTCTTGTTATGAGACATATTCGTGTTAAGAATATTTTATTATGAGACATGTTCGTGCTAAGTCACTACATTGCCCAAGCTGGGCTTGAACTTGCAAGCCTCCTGTCTCAGAGTCCTCAGAAGCTGAGATGTACAGACATGTGCCACCATGCCCAGCTCAAATGGTGCTCTAAATTAAATCCCCTCACCTCTTTCTGCTCAACCTGCAGTGCTGACTTCAAAATGTCTCGAAGCTGTATGAGTTGCCTTCTTTCTTCATCCTGGGCCTGCTTGATCTTCACAAAGCACAAAAAGCAGGGAAGAGTCAGCCTGGGGCACTGGAAGGTGGCTGGTGCTTGAAGGCACCTCCACTAGTGTGCCCCTGGGGACTGCCTCCCTTGTGGTCACCCCTCCCTCCTCTGCCAGGCACAGTGGGGCTCTTCTTTTCTGGGCCATTCAGCCTGCAAACCTAAGGAAAATGCAGGTCACATAAACATGGCTCAAAACCTCTGGAGGGAAGCAACTCACTGTGTGGAGATCTGTGGACAGCGTCTCAATGGAAGGTTTTAGGCTCTCTACTGCTTTCAGTCCATCCTGGAAAAAACTAGGGGAAACACAAGAAACAGAGAACATAATTCTGTTAGACAGAGAAAAACTTGACAGGAAAGTGACTGTGGTCGTTTTATGATCTCTGGGGGGACAAAGTCTGTATAAACACAAATTTAAAAAGCAAATCAAAAATAAAGTGACACTCAAAATTGGGAGAAGCAAATAGAAAAGAAACTGCAATAAACCACATGACCCATATAAAATGAGACCTAAATTTTCCTTCTATGGGAAATAGGATTCTACAACAATGGCAAAAAGGACTTTGATTTGGGAGTCAATCAAAGGGCTAAAGGAAGAATAAACGGTGCAAACAAGGATAAGGCGCTGGAGAACTGTCTGAGACAGGCAGCAGCTAAAAAAGAAGACAGAAAAAGCCAGGCAACTTTGAGGCTTACAAATGGCTTCACTCTATCTGCAGAAGAGGAAAGCGTGGTTGGAGAACTTCAGATTCAATATCAGAAGCAGTCCTGTGTTTTTTTTTTTTTTTTTAGAAGTCCAGAACACAATGCATGAGGTCACATAAAGCAAGTGACTCAGGAAATACAAGCAAGGTGGACGAGTCTCCCATGGGGACAGGTGGCTGGTGATCACTGACACCTGCACAGTGTGCAGTGCAAGGCACTACAGACAGGGAGGAGAAAAGGCATCCCTGTGGGCTCTGGGTAAAGCTGACAGGCCTGGCCTGTGGTGCAATACAGCCCTGACCTACATGTTCTACACAAGGCTGCCTCTCTCCTACACACATTGTGGCTCTTCTCTCTAACCTCTCCTTTAATACATCCACTTCACCCTGCTGTGCCTGCTCAGTAAACACTGCCTCCTTTGTGAGGCCTTCTTTAATCCCCACCTTAAAAGAACTCTCCTTGAGTGAGGTGTGGTGGTGCATGTCTGTAATCCCAGCACTCAGGAGGCTGAGGCAGGAGGATTTCTCCACATTCAAGGCCAATCCAGGCAACAAAGTGAGTTCAAGGACAACTTAGACTACACAGTGAGGTCCTGCCTCAAAAATAAAGAGCTCCCCAGGCATATCTTATCCTTTGTTCCAAAGAGTTTCCCACTATGTCTCCAGGTGTGTGATTATTAAACATAGATTTTGCTCATCACACCCAAAGTTCTAAGAGGGAGGGCCAGGATCCAGAGTGCAGGAAAGGACACAGGCACAGAAGTTGCCAACTCTGTTCCCTGGACACCACAGAAGCCAGTTTCAAAATGTGACCCACCTCTCACGTGTTTGTGCTGGATTTTTGTTTTCTTTCAAGCACAGCAGTGGCTCCGTGGGGGGTATCACACACAGGAGGCCAAGAGAACAGTGCAGCCAGTCCTCCTTGGCTAGAGGGGGCATGCATAGCTGTGGGTCATGAGCGCCGCGGCAACAGAGCCACCAGGCTGGGTAGGGCATGGGTCCTCTCCGGCCTGCAGGACATTGGAACCCTCACCTTACCTAACTGAACTTCTGGTGCAGCACTGTGCCTGGAGCCAGCATGATCTATCTAGGTGTCTGTCACCACAGCAAGAGCAGAACCCATGTGCTCCTGCCTCTGCACCTTCTGTCGCTGGCACACAGAAGGCAGCACATAGCCCACGCCCCTTCTGCACAGGGAAGAAATTCTGAAGAACAGCGGCGTCATGGGAATGAGAAGCAGAAGTACTTCCTTCTGTCAGGGATGGTTTTCCTCTATGCAACTGTTTCCTCAAATCCCTTCAAATTCATGGAAAGTTGCCAGGAAGGAAGAGAAGGGAACAGGGAAAGAGCGCATGATAGCAGGGTGCTCCACTGGGGAACAGGTCAGGGATCTCAGTGGATAAACCCAAGGAGGCCCTGGGAAGAAGGAACAGGTGCACAGCTGTGTGCTGCTGCGACTAAGTGACTCCCTGGGGTGGGACAAGCTGACAGCAGCGTTCAGGGCTCAGGAGCATGCATCTTGCACAGATCTCACTTCTGGTGTGGCACCAGACAATGTCAAAGGAAAAATAACACAATTTAAGTTTAAAAGAGTTTAAGATGTGGATGCCTCCCCCATCTTCACTGTCGACCGGAAAACCTCTTGAGAACTGTAACCCTTCTGTACCCTCCTGGTGCAATCAATACAAGGCACCTTTAAAATGCACTTAGGCCTGGCACTAGGAACAGGTTCAAGGAGTCTGAGAGCTACTCTGCTGATTGCTGTCAGCCACTGTGACATTCCTAAACAGAAGTGCCAGGCAACATGTTCCTAACTTGAGCCCTTTACTATTTCCCAGCCTTCCATCAAAAACCATGTCAAGTCAAATGTCAAATCTCTCTCTCTCTCCCACCACTATGTAGTCCAGGCTGGCCCAAAACTCATGGGAATCCTCCCAAGTGCTGGGATTATCAGCAGTACCACAACATCATCAGACCTGGCTGCTGAGATTACCAGCAATACCACATAATCATCACATCTGGCTCAACTAGATGTTCAAGCTGTAGAAATGCACCCAGTTACACAGTTACCAGCCTTGCTTTACACCCCATGGCAAGGTATCTGCTCCCCAACCTAGGCTTCACAGATCACAGTACTCAAAGCCGCTGAGGATCCACATGTGCCCATCCCACCTCCCCACACTCCTTACATGGCAGCATCCTTTCCACGGCTCCTGGACCCAAGCCCAGCGAGTGACAGCTGCAATCATGGGCCTCAGCAGGCTGTGCTCAAAGCACAAGTGCACTCCTTGCTCCTTGCCTCTTGCCCCATTGGAACAGGACCTCCTAGTGCACATTTATTTACCCTTCAGAGGCTACCCTACCTCTCTGATCCACTAGGGAGCAGCTTCCTCCCTCCAAGCAGCACAAGCTAACACACATCTTCAGAGGTGCATAGGAATGAGACAAAGATGCAAATTTACAAGTCAGAAATGAAGAGCATGACACATTCTTCATAAACACAAGGGACCACAAAAAGTGAGTAAAAAGTAAAAGCATGCACATCTCAGTACTTCCACAGCCCTACAAACATGATTCTGAGGGGCTAGGGACACATGGTGGCCTCTCACTGCCCCAGAGGACAGCGTGGTGGCACAAGCCTTGGCACAGCTGGTCAAGGGCTGAGAAGGAGATGTGGGGAGCGCTTGAGAGGGGACACAGGACCCCCACATCGAGGTGCAGGCAAGGCCTAACTCCTGCGGCCGGGTTGCTGAGGCTCTCAGGCTCCAGGTTCCATGCCCAAAACATGAATTCAAAACAGGCAGAACTGCTGGGCTGACCTGAGGAGCACGCAGTCACAGACATAGTCTCCCCTGCTCACTATCAAAGAAGGAAGTAATAGAAGATGCATACTTGAAAAGGTTGTCCAGCTCATGCCCAAAAAAGGCCAACTAGTTCACTTTTCCAAGAGTTGTTGCTACCCAACTGACAGTTGGGGCAAAATAAAGAAAAAGGAAATCTTAGAATAGCTTCTTGCTAAAAATAAAATATCAGCAAGGAAGCAACTCGGTTCCTAAAATGCCTCCGGCCAGGTTACGAGGAGAACGGAAGAGGTGATCTGGGTGTCACCAGCAGATGTCACAGACAGGACTTTGAGTCTCTGTCAAAGAATTCTTCTGGAAAATGCCTTAGGACGTTTCTCCCCAGCCCAGCTCTCCCTTAGCCAAGGGTGAGCCACCGCACCACACTCCTGTTTGTCTCCAGCTGCGGCAGCAGAGCATGGTATCACCACTGTGGTGCTGCTCCAAACACACGGCAGAGGCAACGGCATGACTTCTGCGCATCCATCCGTGCCAGGTATGTGCGCCCCGACCTGAGATGGAGAATAAACATGGCCCCACCTCAAGGACAGAGCTCGAGCTGGAGGATGATGGCAGCGAGACATGTAAGGGCGCTGGTGTAGCGTAGAGGATGAGGAGCCTGTGGGGGACAAGAACGACCTCCAGGCTGTAAGAAGGGTTGTATGGTTTCTCTCAAATGAGAAACTCAAAATATAAAGAGCAAAAGAAATGATAAAACAGGGGCTGGTGAGATGGCTCAGTGGTCTAAAGCACCTACTTGGAACAAGCTTGGCAAAGTGCAGGGACTGTGGTTCGATCCCCCAGCACCATACTCCAGTCAGCCACGCCCCCTGGTGGACTGAGCTGGCCACCCACACACACACACACACCCACACACACACACACACACTAAATTTAAAAAAAAAAAAAAGAAATGATAAAACAATAGAAAACTGGAAAATGTGTTTTTTGTAAATAGGAAGGGGACATAAAAAGAACTAAGATGTGTTCGGTCACCATCACAAGGAATGTGCTTGTTAAGTACTGCAGATGTGCTAACGAGATGATGAAAACACGTGAACTCCCTCAGAAGCTTGACCCCAGCAAGAGCAGAGGCTGGGGCGGGCACAGGGACACAGCATGACATTCTAGGAAAGGCACATCTCCAGGGAAAGTAGGCTCCCTGGGGGGAGGCTCTCTTGATTCAGTCCACACCTCCCACCGCAGCAGACCAGTCCACAGCCCCTCCTGCCACACTGAGCAGCTTCCCAAGCAGCCTCCAGTCCTCTCAGATCCCTCACCGTGAGGCCGAGCTCACAGGGATTCCCCTACCTGCTCCCTTCCGGCCTGCCTGGGGCACCTGCAGCCACGAGGGCCAGCCTTGCTCACTGCTTCCCTGGGTGACCAGGAGCCTGAACATGCCTTGGCACAGGGAGGAGCCCCACTGTCTACACTGGTCCCAGAGTGCCCAATGCGTGGAACCAAAATCTTCATTGTGGACAGGATGTCATGGCCACCCACTTCGCTAAAGGTTTTCCATCCACTCTGGTTTCATACCATTCTGGCCTTGTTCTCCTGCCCCCCACACCCCAACCTGCTGACTCTCACTTATCCTCTAGACGGCAGAACACATGTCCTGCCAAAGAAGCCTATAGCTAATTTAAGAAATAATACCTACCTAAATCTTTGTCTGAGTTGGGTTTTTCTATTACATCCTATTTCCTCAGATATATATATACTTCATAACCTCTTGGTTTTTTGTGTGCAATACTGGGGACTGAATCCAGGGCCTTCACATTGAGTTACATCCCCAGCCTTTTCTTTGTTTTGAGACAAAGTCTCAAGTCTGCTAAGTCACTAAATTGCCCAGGCTAGGGTTCAACTTGAGATCCTCCTGCCTCAGCCTTCCAGAGTGCTGGGGTAACAGATGTGAGCCACCACCCCTGCCTCAGCACATTTTGTGAGCATCTAGTTCTGAGGTCCAATTTCCCGAGATGACTCTCCAGACAGAAGTGTGCCTGTGCTGTCTCTGCCTCAGACCAAGGCCTGACATCACCATGTGATCAGTGAGACTGTCAGGTGAACAAGCGAGGCAGGCAGGGGTTTGCTCAGCCCAGTGGCTGGTGCCCAGGAACAAAAGCACAGGAAAGATGAGGGTGGCGAAGCGCTGACGCACAGGGATAGCTGAGTTCTTGAACTTGGAAGGTCCTCTCCCCTGCTTACCATAGTCATCAGCTGTGCAGCATTGGTAATGTGGGAAAGCAGTTTTTTAATGTAATACCCTGTATCAGCCATCTCTCCTTCGTCCTGACACAAACCACATCTGAGTTCCTGCATCAGATTAAACTAGTCTGCCTCCTACTCCTACAAAAAGGGGTAAACCAATGCATTTGGCAACTGCTACAGATATTTTTTATATTACTGACCTATTTTTTTACTGAGATGATTCTAGACCTTCATTATTTTATAGTGAACAGTGCACTGGTTTTTTAATGTATTTACAAAGTTTTGCAATCAGTGCTAATTACGGCACTTTTCCAAGACTTCAGAAAGTGACCACAGGCCCATTAGCACCCATGCTACACTGTTAGTCTCCAAGCTGTAACAACCAATACCTGGGAGTTTGTTCATCTTCCTCGCCTGGCAGATAAACAGAACTGTGCAGCACATGGCCTCTGGCTCGGGGTCCCTTGAGTGAACAGGATCCCAAGGTTCACCCATGAAGCATGTACTGGCTCCAGACATCTGTCCTAAGAGAGTGTACGCTCACTACAATGCTAGTGCCTACCAGAAGCTGCCACATGCGGAGAAACACTCAAAAGGAGAAAAGAACTTACTTGCACTGGGCATGGAAGTATTTAATCAGATTCTGAAGTAAATCCACTCCTTTTTTAATCTTGATTTCATTCACCTTCAGCAGATACTGTTAAGAAACAAAGAAGGAATTGTCATGGGAATGAGAAGAGTGTGAACTTTACTGGACTTTCTGAAGACAGATTAATGCCTTCCACTTATTTGATGTCTTCTTCCTTGGGCAGAGCCTGTGGAAGACATCTGATGCTTTTTTTTCCCCCCTGAGATAAGGTCTTGCTATGTAGTCTAGGCTGGCCTCAAACTTGTGGTGATCCTCCTGCCTCAGCCTCCTGAGCACTGAGATTACAGAGGTGAGACACTATGCCCAGCTCACAATTATAACACCTGATTCCTTCTGCCACCCAGAACAGAACTAAAGGCTTCTCTTAGGTACTAAAGAAGCTCCACTAACAGGACATTCCTCCCCGCCTGCTGGAAGGGCTTTGCTCTAGCTACAGAGGAGGGCCTCCACCCATCTCACATCTTGTTGTGCACACTTCTGCCCTAGGTTCCTTCCATGAGGCAGGCTGTCATCTAAGACTCCAACTGCTAGTATCCTCTATTAGATATTCTTTCCCCATGCCAACCCCAAGACAGATACTTCCTCACACACGGATGTTAAGTAGGCAAGTTTTACACTGAAAGGAGTTAAAACCATTTCTAACTTGGAGACTTCATAATAACCACTGAGGTGACCGCTGGAAGGCCTAATGATCTGTAAAACTAGCATCAAGAAATGTATTTGTTTTCTTCTGAAAAGCTTCAAGAAGCTCACAGATAAGAACCCCATAGGTTCCCTACCCCTCCTTTGTGGGACATACTCTATAGGACCCTGAGAATGTTGAATCCTTAGGACACAATGCCCTGGAATACTAAGCCACACAGTGTCCCAGCTGTCACACAGGATGACTCCATGTCCAGTCTTTCCCAGGTTACCCATGCAGCCCAGTAAGGGGACAGGGAGCTTCCAGGAAATCGTAAGCCCCATACCTCCCTGCTTTAAATAAGAACTGCCTACACGTCCTTTTCTCACTCCTCTTTGGTATTTTTCACTTTAAGTGGATGTCTGGCAATGGATCAAAATGATCCATGTATTTGTTAATAAAATGTCAGGCAATGTACCAACCCCTAAAAGGCAGGTACCCTTTGACCCAGAAATCCTACTTACAGGAAGTTATTTGAAGGGACCATTATAAAAGTTACCAGGATAAACAGACAAGAGGGACCATGGCCTTGTCAACCAAGGCACATTGCTGTGAGAAGGACACTTGCCACCTGGCACCCACAGCTTTGCAGGTTTGGCTGGGGGAGCAGACCTCAGAGAGGTGGGAGCAAGGCCTCGTACTCCTGGAGGAGGCACAGAAGTAGAAAGCTTCAGGAACAGCACTTGTGATGGTGCAGTCTCTGCCCCTGCCCCATGTCCCTCGTGCTGTGTCCCCTTCTCCCTTCCCAAGACAAGGCTGAGGCTACAGGACAGGAGTCCCTCAGGGCCCAGCAGGGAGCTGTGTGGAGTCTGGGCATACACTTCTCCCTGGGCACTGGGCTTTTTCCCAGAAGATTCCTCTTTTCCCTCCTCCATCTCTGACTTCACTGGTGTAGTGGGAACCTAGATTCCTCACTAAAACCACCAAAGTGCTGAGTATAGCGGTAACTTGGTTCATGACTTTAATTCTTTCCACGATTCTGGCTGCAACCAAATTGCAAGCATACATGCGTGCACACCCATGTTTACAGAAGCACAACTCATAACTACATCTTGCAAGCAGTCTATATATCCATAAACAGATGAACAGATAAAGAAAAGGCGGTGCTTACATACAATGCAGTACTATTCAGCCACAAAGAGGTTTAAACAAATCACTGGTAGAAAAATAGATGCACCTTGAGCCTGTAATGTTCACTGAAATAAGTGAATGTTTAACACAAGCTTAAATATTGCATGGTTTCTCTTAGATGAGAAATTCAAACTATAAACAAAGTACAAAAGCCAAGAGATAATAGAAAATAGGTAGACAAATTTTTTCCAGATGGGAAAGGGACCAAGACATACAGGAAGTGGCTGCAGGAGAAGGGGACATAAAAAGAATTAAATGCATAACATATATGCACCAACACGCCACGAGGGATATAATCAGGATATACTGCAAGCTGCTTTATTTTTAAAAAGCTAGTATTAGATTTTTTTTT